GACCAACAATGTTCACTTGCCTCATTCGAAATCTAAAGATAAGGCCATTGATGAGTTATTCTAAGGCAAAAAGGAATAAGGAAAAAACAAAACAAAACCAAAAAACCCCAAGACTTTCTTAGGAAAGGGCTCAGATATGTGTCTGCCTGTATCACAAAGGCCATTGCTCAAGGACACCCTCTTTCCACTTGGTTTCATTAAAAATGCAAATTACATATATGGCCCTTTTCCCTAAAAGCTTTCAAAGAATGGCAAATCTACTGCAACTCAATGATTTTAAATTCCCAAGCAGAGCATAATTGGCTGGGTTAGATGGAGAGAAATTTATGTCATCACCGGTTGCCATTGGCTGATTCAAGTTTAGGTTAACATCAGGGGATTAAAGTTCAAGTAGCTATTCAACAGAGTTAGAGGGTCAGAATGTGGCTACCAATAACAGTTTTGTAAATGACAGTTTTGTCTTTTTAATGACCAAAGGCACCCCCACACTCTATTCTCTGTTGGTTCAAGAGAAGAACAACAGCCCCAGAATTCACATCCTGGGATTTTAATCCAATGAGTAACTGTGAGATCTTCAGCAAATCAGACTCATCTCTGTTTCTTTCTCTATAAAATGAAGGTGGAGTTAGAGGTTCTCTAAAGTCTATGTTAATGCTTTTAGTTCTGTCTGTTCTTTATTTATATATAAATATTTGAACTGAATTTACATACAAGAAAAAAATCCTAAGTGCACACACATGTATTTATTACAAAAGTTCCCTAAATTTACATAAATTTTAAACACGGACACTGGACCCTAATCACAGTTTCTGATCATTGAAATAATTATATAGCTTCAGCTAAAAGTCTCATTTTAAGCCGTTTTTCTTTAAAAATTAGTGTATTGTGTCTTGATTCATCAGCTCTAATCTTAGGAAGGATGTTAAAATGAATAGAAGCTAAACAGCATCTCTCATTAGGTTTTTTAAAAACTCTAACTTTGGTTTTGTACTGAAAAAAATGTTCTTTACAAAGATGTAATTTCACCTTTACTCCCTGAATTAGTAATTTTTATTCTTTCATTCCTCAATTTTATGAAATGTATCCATCCTGGCAGAACAATGACACTATCAAACTCAACATCTGGTGATAACTGGAAATTTCATCTCCTTCAATGATCTTACAGGAAGTTATAACATCACTAACAGCTCATGATCGCTCTACCCTTTGTTAAGGCCAAGGATTTACTGCCTGGATAAGTTTCAGGATCAAGAAGCAAGAGGTTAAATGGCATGTTAAGTGCTTGATTAGTGAGACTAGCAACTCCCGGACCCTGGGAAGGATATTCCTAGGACAGCTGCTTTGTTTGCACACAGCATATTAATAGTCCCAAGAGATTGTAGAGTTTTGTAAAGAAAAGTGCCACAAAAGTGCCTGTGGTTTGTAGTTATTAAGCCTGATATAATAGTAAGCCATTTCTATAGGGTATTTTGCTGGCTAGTATTGCTGGAAAGAACATGGCTAATCTAACATCTGGGTATAATCCCTCTTGGAGTAATACTCAACTGTGTATTTTGCCTTCTCCTGAAGGTTTTGGTTTATTCTCACTTGGCGACTCCTAATTTACATACATACAATTGGATTTTGTTGTTGCAACAGGAGCCACCTGCTCAAGATGCCAACACTTCTTCCTGTAGTGGCTTATCACCAGCTCTTCTCACCTGTATTGAGTATAGGGTGTGAGGTTTGGGATTTCCAGTGTCTGGGCGTCAGGCTCATTCTCCTCTTCATAGAGGCTGACCCATTCCTCCTCATCGCCGATGGCTCCAACCTGTGGAGGGGGAGATCTTGAGATGGGCTAGACAGGCTGCAGGGACTGAGGCTGCCCTGTATAGTAAGTGCCTTGAGTGAGTGGGCTGGTCAGAGCCACACCGCATCCCCACACCTGTGATAAGTTGAGTCCTGCACATGCCTCTCTTGTACTTGGGGTGGGGGCTCTTGATACCCCTACCATCAAGTCTGGGTGAACTTCAGTCAAAAGCTCACAGTTAAGAATGGAGCCTGAAGGGTGAATCCTCTGGGAACAAACCTCAGGGACCACTGGTGATGGAGAGACCTTCCATACCATCTTGTCTTTCCTCTAATTTGATGGGTGAGGGATCAAAGAGAGGCACAGAGGGAAAGACTTGGCTAGCATCCCATGGTGAGCAGTAATGGAACCGTGGGCACAGGCCAAGTGTCCTCACTTAGGGTCCAGAACCACTTCCACCACATGCTGGCCAGGGGTACTCTGTCTCTCCCCATTTCCACTCTGACCCTTTCTGCCATAACACAATCAAAAAGACACCACAGCTGGCCCACGGCATAAGGAAGGTCCTTGTATGGAGAGGGACTAAGCTTCTGCCCTGGAAGCCAGACCTGGCAGGACCCGTCCTTTAGGATTTAAAAGAACTGCCTCAGGGCAGAGCTGATTAGGGAAGAGCCATTCCCTTTAAACAGAGACTTGCCTTTTCCAAGTCTGCTAACAAGGCCTGCTCGGAGCTCCCTCAGCTTCTACCTCTCCTAAGTCTTTGGTCCTGCCCAGCGGTCTGTTGCTATTTTACTCCTCATCTGTGACCTCCACACCCCATGGGCCTGCTCAAGTAGTATTTTTGTTTCCTGTGACCACCCTGATCTGACCCCAGCTACACCTCTCACTCCGCCTTGTGCTTTCCTGTTACTGAAACCTGACTGTCCCATGCGGCTTCTAGTTCTGCCCACACCACTCTGATCTCACCCCTCACTCTACCTGCCAGTGCCCCATGGGCCTGTTCCAGCAAGAGAGCAACAGGAGAGACACCTCATGCCAGCCAGGAGAGCCCTAAGAATTCTTCCATGCAGATTTCTACATGCCTGTCACAGATACACTCTGGGCCTGGTGTGGCTATGTGGTTCTGGGGGATGCAGGGGACACACACCAAAGGCTGGCAGTGAGTACATAGAGCATGTGGGGCCAAACAAGCTAGTCAAGGTAGGATCAGCCCAGGGCCCTGTGTATTTGACACTTCATAAGTGACTTAGAAACGTGCTCATTAAGTCTGAAAAGGAAACCAAGTTGGCAGGTGGCCAAGTCACAGGAGCTGGCATGAGAATTCAAAATGACCTTGGTAAACTGGAGAAATGGACATGAAGGATGAGGAGGATACAGTAAACACAAATATCTCCCCTAAAGAAAACTTTAGGAGTGTGCTTCCTAAAGAAAACTAGATGCAAAGCATAAAACTCTAAATACTCTAAATAAAAAACATTAAAATAGTTGGTGGTTCCTAAAAAAGTTAAACAGAGTTACCATAGGACCCAGAAGTTCCACTTCTAGGTATATACCCAGAAGAACTGAAAACAGGAACTCTAACAAAGACCTGTACACGTATGTTTATAGTGAACTATTTGCAACAGCCAAAAGATGGAAACAAAGCAAATGTCCATTGATGAATGGATAAACAAATGGTGGTCTATCCGTACAATGGAATATTATTCAACCATAAAAAGGAACAAAGCACTCATACGTGCTACCACGTGGATGAACCTCAAAAACATGCTAAGTGAAAAAGCCAAACCCAAAAGTTCACATATTGTGCAATTCTATTTTATGAAGTATCCAGAATAGATTAATCCATAGAGACAGAACACAGATTGATGGCTGCCAGGGGCTGGAGAGAGGAGGAAATGGGGAGTGGCTGCTGTTGGGTATAGTGTTTCCTTTAGGGGTGATGAAATTGTTTTGGAACTAGATAGAGGTGGTAACGACACATTGTGAATCTACCAACTTGTGACTTGTACACTTTAAAATGGTTAATTTTATGTTATATTAATTTCACCTCAATTAAAAAGAAACATTAAAATAAAATGTGGGATGAATGGCCAAAAAAACATTTTGTGGAAAAAGATCTGGAGGTCAGAGTAGATCATGAGTAGCCCAGAGGCAGCAAGGCAGTGGAAAATGGGCAGAGCAGAAAAGACTGTGCAGTTTGCACAGCTGGATGAGGAAGGGTGGACAGTACCCTTGCACCGAAGTGGGCCAGTTCTCAGCACTGGGTTAGCCACTGAAGTCCTTAAATCCTCACTTCAGAGACGCAGAAACGAAAGAGAAAACAAGACATATGCAGATAGATTAAGACTGTGCAGAAGACTCATCCTGGAGA